AGAAAGAAAAGGATCAGTGAACTGCAGAGATGGGAAAATGCACAGAGCTTACAGGGAATAGACATAAGACATATGTCTGCAGCGCACACACACACACACACAAACTGTTACAACATCAAGGGAGGCAATGCTGGGAAGTCAGATGAGGATGAAATTATGTGGGGTTTTGTTTATATACATAACTAAGGAATACATAATTAAGGAATTTTTATGTTAATCACATTGGGCAGTGGAGAATTGCTGGAGATTTTAATAAACGTTTAATTATAATGTGGCATACACAGAATGTACATATGGAATTCCATTTGACGTGTGGAAATAATGAGGCTTTCTGACCACATAGGTGAAAGAAGACACAGGCTACGACAAAGATAGAGGCCCTAGTTAAAGAGTCTTAGCGATAGGAGTCAAGATAAATTATTTTCATGCAAATATTAGGATTGGGTGACCAATCAAACTTTAGAAGTGTCTATGTTGGGTTTCAATTTTGGATGCTTATGTGGAAGAGAAGAAAATGAACACAGTCTGGAAATGTTTGAGTTTGAGATGCCTGTAGAGATTTCCAATAATTAATTGGCAACAGATTCCAGAGTTCAGGAGAGAGGCTGGGGTTGAAGATACAAACCTGAGTCATAAGCATTGTAGGAGACATGGAAATGCTTTCAGGAATCAACTTCATCTTTTCAGAAGTATAGAGAAGACAATCCCATAACTTTTAGTGACATACTTTCTACCAGGAAACCGTAAGGTTTTTTCACTTATAAAAATTTATGTTCAAGTTTTAATCAAATTCCTATTTCTGCCATGCTTTTGAAAGTGTTTTATGATCACCATATTATTTGTTAATGAAAGCATTTCAAGAACAGATAGGAATGGACTTTTTCTAATTTTGTCATTATTCTTTGAGACAGATGATTCTTTTAGTAATGAGAAGGTTCTAAAAGAATACCTCAAAAAAAAGAATACCTAAAGATGATCAAATGTTGAATGTAATAATAATTCTACACTTGGTGCCTTATTTTTAAAGTATTCTTGCTACAAAAACTTCCATGCATTCTTTCATTTATGTGGCTAATTTTTACTAGGTGCCTACCACATCCCAAGCCCTGCAGATGCTAGGCATGAAGGGAGAATATGTTGGATATTTGAGTGTTTAAGTGTTTAAGAAAAAGATTTTCAGCAACTACTGAAAAGTAAGTTTCTTCCTGATATCTCCAAGAACATAAAAAAAAAAAAATTACCAAAACTCTTGTGCAAGGAGAAATGGTTAAGAGATAATTGTCACAAGCATAAAGCACCTTCTTTTAGAAATGAAACTGAGTGGAAATGCTAAAAAACAATCTTAACATTTGTTATGGATTTTGTGTAAAAGCAGGAGTGAGAAACTTGAATATTTTATATGGGTTGGGGCTACTTTTAAAAATTTTAAACTAAATAACCATAAAAATAGATACCACTTCCATGGTAACATAAGAATAACAATAAAAACAGGGAAGGTAGCTCTGAGAATAAATTCCTAAAATCTGTTCTTTTAAAAAGTAAAAAATGTAAATATGTCCCTAATTAGGGACCAACTAGGATTAATCATCCAAGAAATATTGAGTTCCATCAAAGTATAAGTTATAATAGGGTTTTATGTGATGGTTTAATTTTTTCACAATACACATTAAAACAACAGGAAAGGCAATTCATTTCATTAAGCTTAACAATACTATAGGAAGGGCTGTGCATTTACCTTGCCTCTGGCATTAGCCACTGAATGGACGCTTTATTTTTTTTTCTTATAGAGAAAAGAGAAACAATTGAGAATAGAAATGGATATATGTAAAGAGAATAATTAATGGCAATAGTGAGTATATGACAGGCTAGTGTTAGTTATATAAACTTTACTAATCTTTAGAGGAAAAAAATTGGGCAAAAGTCTTTTACTCATTTTACAAATAAAATATTAAAGCTAAAAAATATGAAGTAATTTACCATAACTGACCCAATTAATCAGGTTAGAGCAATGCTTTAAAATGATACTTTTATTTTAGTCATTTTCTCTATTTTTGTTTTATTATGAAAGTAATACATATTATACAGAAAAATGTGGGGTAAAAAGTATAGTTTCTAATTCGAACTCATTCTTCTCACCAGAAGTAACTATATTCCAGGTAGAGTTCTATTCATTTTTAACAGATTATGTTGCATCTATATAAATATAGACATTAGAGATGCTTTATAGAGAAAAATGTTCACATATATTTTTTATAAATGAGGTCATTCAAAGTAAAATCTATTCTAGATTTTTTCCCTCCTTTTAATTTTCCATGACAATACATATAGACCTCTTTCCCTCACTGTGGTGGCTATGTACTATTCTATACTATGGATGCACCACAATTTATTTAAACATTCCTGTCTTGGTGAATATTGAATTGGGTCCATTGTTTGTGTTATAGCCAAAAGGTCTCCTGTAAACTGTCTCCTATGCATATCTGCAGACATGAGTAACTATTTATATAGATGGGAAAATATTGGGTTTAATTTCTACCTTGCCATTAAGTTGATAATGTAGGGACATTAGGATATATGCAGGTATGGGTTTTTTACTTATTGTGTGTTCACTTTATTTATGAATCCCTAAGATCGGTGTCTTTATATAATTTTGGTTACTATGACAATAACAGCATTCTATGGCAATGTCTACGTAGTACTGAGGTATAAGTTTATTGTTCTAACCATGACATGAATTCTTTCATCTATTTCCTTGATTATTAGTTATTAGTTACCTACCAAATCCCAGGCCCGTGGCCAAGTACTGGAGATGAAGAGAAGAATAAAACATAGTCCCTGCCAACAAGGTTATGGTACAGTGGAATAGTTTATTTCTGGGTATTTGAACACTTATAAATGAATAATTTATAACAATACATAATGCATTTTTTAACAGTATAATGTAATTTTCAACAGTGATGATCCAGGTGTTTTGTGTCATTTAGACAAATGCAGGTGTATGACTGGTAATCTTTTTAACATTAATTATGGCAACTTAAAAAATCTATGAGGATAATTCATCTAGGTTGTCATCCTCATCATTACCTATTTTCATTTTCGCCTGCATTAGAACCAAAATGATGTCATAAATAATGTGGGTTTTTGGAATTCTGTAGGTCATCATGGAGCAGATGATCGATTAACATTTTTCATAAGCTGTTGAAACACATTATGGAGACACTTCTACTTGTCCACTCAGTATCCATGGTATATAGACTGTGAGGACATTTACCCATTAAGTCTAGTAAAATATTGCGTTTTTGTGCTAGAGGAATTCAAGTAAAGTATTTCTAGTCAAAGAGACTTATAGGGAAGGGTGTAAAGCCTTTAGGGAATCTTGTTTTTCCTAATAAAGGGACAGTCGTGGCTACTAGAGCTCTTCTCTACCCCGATTTCTTCCTGCCTTGAATGTGGATGTGATGTCTGGAGTTTCAGCAGCCCTCATGTGATCAGCTGATGATAAGAGTTAATTTTAAGTATTGAAGAATAGAAAGAAACTTCTTGTCTTTTGACAAGTCACTGAAGACCTGAAAAATGTCAAGAGTGGACTACCTTCAGGTTTCTTACTTCCATTTGTGAAAAAAATTAAACCCTCCAAATTTAGTCCTCTAACAATTAAGCTTTTTGCCATTTCCAGTTAAATTCATTGGGATTCTATTGGTTTGGGTAGTAGAGGCCTCTCACGTTCATTGTGAATCAGTACAAAAGCTGGACCATTTCTGAATGCTCTGCCATTATACTCTCTAAATTGCTCCTATTTTCTTTCACAAAGTTATTTTTCTATGCTGTAATTTAAAAACCTTGATTTAAATATCTTTCTGCTTAAGTTGAGATTTTGGAATACAAATTAGGATTTTAATCTTTCTTCTGTTTGTTGTTTAAGAGGAAAATCTCATTTTTGAATGTTCTCTATTAAATCACACAGGTTCTATTTGAAGTATGGTGTCAAAACTCAGTAGGGTTATTGCTTTTTCTCTGTAGATTCTTGACACATTCAGCTGCATTACCAGTGCATTACCAGTATAACCATGATGTTGTGCTACATAGAATAACTTTTACTTTCTTATTTCACTCTAATGCACTAGATTAAGAACTCACTGGTGCGTTTCTCCTTGACTTTTGAGGATAACTTGTCTACAGAGGATTAGCACCTGAAACTGTTATGAATTCCTACACATTCCAAATTTTGCCTCTCAAGATGGCCATGACATCAGGGCTCCTCCACCTGAAGACTCAGAGCTAAGCAGCCTCCACATGAGTCTTCATATGACATCCACGTGCAGAGCCACTTTCCAACATTTAAAGAGAGCACAAGAATCTTCGTTATAATCTGACAGATCTCTGATAATTGGACTTCAACACACAAAAAAAGCTATCCTAGACTTTTAGTCACCTATCAGTTTTGTTTAAATACTACATTTTTACCTCGTTCAAAGGGTATCTTCAGATACCCAAAGTAAATATATAACAGGTGTGCTTATTTGTGCATTTTAAAATTTTACTGAATCTCAGAAATTCATAGAAAACATGATATACATAAACATTGACAAAAGAAATTTAGAATAATCACTAGAAGTTTAGAATTAATTGCCCAATGTTGATTGGGAAAACATCGTGATTGTTGAGGGATTATTTTATACTATTTAGTCAGTAGAGCAAAATGTAGCCTTCATTTACTCATACATGGTAAAATGAGATAGGTCTAAAATATTTGGCTATCTTCATTAATTGGGCTCACTGAAAGTGTTGCCCTATTTACTGGTGCTTTCTTAAGATACTTGGGGTAATAAAAGAGCCAAATAAGTTCTTGATTTGAGGGCCCATTAATTTCCTAAGCTAAAACTTTATTGTTATTGGCATGTGAGTCATGTTTTACTGTGATAGTTTTCATAGCAATATTTTCCCCCAAAGATGAAGCTGATAAAAAAAAAAAAAAAGAGAGAGAGAGAGAGAGAGTTTACCTGATTTCCTCCCATACCATGGCAGTTGAATATACCCACTTTTTCATTTTCTTTGCGGCCCATGTTGTCTAAACATTGGTTGGTTTCAACATTTCTTATCTAGAGGAAACACACAAAAACAGAAGTCAGATAGTGATTTAAATCAGAAGTTCTGGGGCACATGGGTGGCTCAGTGGTTGAGCATCTGCCTTTGGCTCGGGTGTAATGCCGGGGTCCTGGGATCAAGTCCCGTGTCAGGCTCCCCACAAGGACCTGTTTCTCCCTCTGCCTGTGTCTCTGCCTCTCTCCCTGCATCTCTCATGAATGAATAAATGAAATCTTTAAAAAAAAAATCAGAAAATCTTCCTGGTATCATCAAATTGTATATTGATAACAAGATGATACATGTTTGCAAGGAAATTTCTCCAAGAAGAACTCATTGTTTTAAGTGTTTCTTTTTCTTTTTCTGTCTATTCTTAATTTTGTACAAATTCTGATCTCCTACTAAAGTAAATTTGAACAGCAATGGCATTGTCATTAGCAGCTAATCAAGAGGCACTCCTCATTTATAGCATGGTATCAAAGAAAGAGGAAATATCTACATATTACAAATTATTCTTTCCTAAATCCTTTTAAAATGAGGACATTTGCCAAATTTCTCTAAAAAAACATAGTCTATTCTTGAACTCCTGTGGCAACATATGCAAAGGAATTGAAATAAATTGGTTAAATATTCAAATTTATGTGTTTTTAGACTGCCTTATTACTAGATGTTCCATCCTATGTTAATAAAGATTAATTATTGTTTATTTCTGTAAATATGTAAAACATATTCATACAATCTTTTCATTCCTAATGCCAAATGTAATGGAAAAGAGTTGACCCTAAAAAAAGCTACTGCAAGACTAAATGGTGATTTCACATTAAAAATTCCTTAAAAACAAGATTAAATTGTCAAACATAAGATGCTTGGTTTATACTCAAATACTGCATTAGTTCCATAATTAATGTAATGTTAATATGTATTTGAAACACCTGTAATTGCAAAAGCCATTTATTGAGTTTAAAGATGCTAAAATTACTAAATCAAGCACAAACGAATAATCAAAATGGCATTTCTAATAAATGGAATGTTTTTATGTCTTCCTTTAGTCTAAATCCCAAGTATGTATTTATATTTGTCCATTCAGCTTCTGAAAAGTTCTTATCTCTGACTCGTTAGAACATGTATATTTTACTGTTCACTCATACATTACTTGCATATATATCTGTTTTGTTATCTATGCTTTAACCACATGTTTCTTCATATTGGCAAATGAGTAATATCAAAAACTTCTAAAGAGGATGGATTAGGTTTATGTGAATCACTCTTTTGTATGACGTACAACCCAAAAGTCAAGTAATGGTTCCTGGAGTTGGGAAAAATGGTGTGATTTGCATTAGGGCCCCAGTCAGCAATGAGGAAGAATAGGGATTGGAATTCATACTTTGGAAGGGTTGGAAGAGCTGAGCAGAATTGTCAAGCCCTGTTTAAATGCCTTGAGATTTAGAGCAGGATTATAGATGCTTTCCTCAAGAAATCTGAGCTGCAATCCATTAGAAAGGACAGAATACATCATGAATATTAAAGAGAAAGGAGGGGCACCTGGGTGGCTCAGTAGGTTAAGCATTGTTCTTGGTTTGGGCTCAGGTCCTGGATGGAGCCCTACTACTTCCTGAGCAGGGAATCTGCTTCTCCCTCTCCTTCTGCCCCTCCTCCTGCTTGTGCTCTCCCCCCCCCGCCCCGCCTCTCAAATAAATACATAAATCTTTAAAGAAAATAAAAAGAAAAGATATAAGCTTCAAGAAGCAAAATCATGTGCAAGTCCCATACTGGTGGGTTTAGGTTATCTGATGTAGGTTGGTTCAGGCACTGGAGGATATGGAGACTCTACCCAAAAGTTCAAGATTTTGGGGGGACCTTTAGCTCAGATAGGATTGAAAAAGGTAACAATTGATATATGATGTAGCATATCAGTCTGCCTATGCTTCGCATAATCTAATCAAGACATAACATACACGTATGTTCTTCGGTCCTTTCTATTGACTTTTCTTGTCAACATTTCATGAAGGCAAACTTGAGAAATGATAAAATGCTGTGGATTTATTATCCTAAAAAAGTATAGAACAGTGTAATTCTATAATACTTAGGGCAATAAATATCTCACAAAGTGATTAATTCACCTTTTATGTAAGCTATGCAATGCAATCTGATTCAAAAGACCTCTGCTAGATTCATAGTACTTGAAGAGACACTAGTTAATAATTAATAGGGACTCCAGGCTGAATCACTTATAATATTTTGTCTCTTTGCTGGATGACAGATTCAAAGCCATATTCAGGCCAGTACATACCTTGACAGAAGCATTTTTAAGCATGAGGATGACCTATCAATAGCTTATTCTGGCCTCTGTGTGGAGAACAGACCAGAGGGAGGCATTAGTGAAAGCAGAGGACCGTGTAAGGGGAATCTTGCAGTCCTGCCAGCTGCAGATGATGGCTGCTTGAAATAGTAGGATAACAATAGAGGTGGATAGGTCAAATTTGGCATTTTTTTCTTTAAGATTGGTTGATTCTTTGATTTACTTTAAAGACATAGAGATACAGAGTGTAAGTGTATGTGGGGAAGGGGCAGATGGAAAGAACCCCAAATAGACTTGCATGGAGTTGTGGGGGAGGGGTAGCTTGATCTCAGGATGCCGAGATCATGACCTGAGCCAAAACCAAGAGCCCGACAGGCAACCAACTGAGCCACCCAGAGGTCCCAAATTTGGGAAGCTTTTAAGATAGAACCGAGTAAGACTTGCAGTTGAATTGCATATGAGCTATGACAGGGGGAAAAAGACATCAAGAAGCATTCTAAGGTTTTGCTTGAGCAAACAGCCAAATGATGTTTCTGTTTCCATTTACTGGGAAAAACATTCTGAGTTCTTGCATGTTGATAAATACATCTGTGGCCTTTCTATTGAAAATCTATTTGTTATATCTGAAATCCTTGGCTCACAATCTCTTTCCTTGAGTAATATTTAAAATATTATGCTATTTACTTCCAGCACAAATAGTTGCTTTTGAAAAGTCTAATGATAATCTGGTTTTCTTTACCTTATTCTTTTTCACAAATGTCCATTTGCCTGAATGCTAAACTAATTTTTTTCTTTTCTTTAAAGTTTAATAGATTTATGACAATGCATCATAATATTGCTCATTCTGGATCACTTTTCCAGATACATAGCATTCCTTTTCAATGTGTAGTTTCCATTTTACTTTCAGGTGCATGTTCTTAAGTTATAGGTGCTCATGTTCATTTTGTTTTATGGCTTTGATTTTTCTCACTAGGAAATCCTATCATGTTGAATCTTGTTGCTTATCTCTCTATATGTCACCTTCTATTAAAAGTGAGATTAATGGGGGTTTCTGAGATTATTGACTCATGTGTTGTTTCAAATTTAGCCTTTGATTCTAAATGAATTCATTCCTTACTTCTAAATCTTTACTGCAATTTTGGCTCTTATTTAAGAGGTAATATAAATTTTATTTATAGCATTGTTTTCTACATTTTATTATACAATTTCTTTTAGCTTGTTCTGAAATATTAGGTTGTATTTTTCTTGTCCATGAGCATAAAGCTTTGGTGTCCTTGCATTGTTTACAGAGAGATCATTCTCCTCACGTTATCTTTGTGCTTATTTTGGCCATCCTCTCTTATTATTGCTGTTCTTATTATTCCATGAGTCCAATTCTCCTCCTCTTTTAAGAGAGAGGGTTTGATGAGGAGATCATTTCTTGCTTTTCTTTTTTTTTTTTTTTTTTGGGAATCACCTGGCATCTTAAACTATCCAAGTCCACACATTCCCAGTTAGTTAGTAGAGGGTGTAACGTGGCCATTGGAGGTTTTAAAAATCTCCCCAGGTAATTCTAATGTGCAGCAAAGTTTAGCAACCGCCATTCTGGAGGGAGGTGTGCAGTGTCTTGATATTATATGGTGACATTACAATTACTTTTCCTTTTTAAAGTAAGTTCTTTTTCAGTGGTTCCCACCTGCAAAGCTTTTAGAATATACTTCCGATTGGCCTCATCCTCATAGATTATGATCCAAATGCTCTGGAGAAGGACCAGGAGACAGTTTAAAGCTCTGCAAATGGGGATCCCTGGGTGGCGCAGCGGTTTAGCGCCTGCCTTTGGCCCAGGGCGCGATCCTGGAGACCTGGGATCGAATCCCACGTCGGGCTCCCAGTGCATGGAGCCTGCTTCTCACTCTGCCTGTGTCTCTGCCTCTCTCTCTCTCTCTCTCTCTCTCTGTGACTATCATAAATAAATAAAAAATTAAAAAAAAAATAAAGCTCTGCAAATGATTGGAGCGTATATTCAGGGTTAAAATCCCCTTGAGCAAGAGAACACAATGGAGTACTTGCTAGCTGGGGGCTTAGCTGTTTTGTGGATCATTCTGAAAACTCTGGGCGCTGATGGAAAGAAAAGGTGGTTTTCATAGTAAAGGTGATTCCTTCAGTATGCAGTGGGGAAGTTGAAGGGCAAACATTTCCAGCCGTCCCTGACAGGGAAGGTTCACATGGGAGACCACTTCTCACTACACAAGTCTAGCTCTCCTGTTCCTGCACTTTTCTGAAGAGTTGAGCAAAATTGCCTTCTATTTTTTGAGATCCCCTGGTTGGTTCTATTCATCGCTTATATTTTCTTTTCTTTTTTTTTTTTAAAGATTTTATTTATTTATTCATGAGAGACACAGGGAAAGGCAGAGACACAGGCAAAGGGAGAAGCAGGCTCCCTGCAAGGAGCCTGATATGGGACTCGATCCCAGGACTCTGGGGTCATGACCTGAGCCAAAGGCAGACGCTCAACTACTGAGCCACCCAGGTGCCCCCCTTTTTTTCCTTTAAAAAAAAAGATTTTATTTAAATTCAATTAGTTGACATATAATGTATTATTAGTTTCAGAGGTAGAGGTCAGTGATCCACCAGTCTTATATATAATACCCAGTGCTCATTACATCCTTAATGTCCATCACCCAGTTACCCTGTCCCTCTCTCCCGCACCCCTCCAGTGACCTCAGTTTGTTTCCTGTG